TCTTCAAATGTGGAACATTCCCTTTAAGACAAGCGACGAAAGCACCTCTAAATCAAAACATGACTAGTTTTTAAAAACTGCGCAAAAGGCATGTCGCTGCTTACATTTCTTGTTTTGCTTTCAGCCGTTTTCAGTTTCCAACAGAATGCTTGCGCCATCTTTTTTTTGGCCTTTTTTCAGCTAAAAGGCGCGACACCTTTTTCAGCGTTTCAGGGGATGGCTGGAATGCGCTTCCCCCTCCCCCACAGATACGTCAGTGCACCCTGACGCTGCACCTACCTGGTCATTGCACACAATGACGCAACCTCAGATCAGGGTGCATGTCCTCAACAAACAGGTGCTCTCAGCGCATGCGCCGTTCGGCCGCGCTTGCGTTACCGATTCTTGCATCGCCAATCCATTGTTCAGTCGGGGGAAGCATTAAAATCTCACAGTTTTTCCTACGAGATAACATTTGACTCACGATGAAAAGATTCTTTTCGAAGTCGGATCTGATCCTCCGACTTTATTGGAGCCCCCCGCTCTCCCGCTCGTTGTAACGTGGAAGTCCATCCCAGCGTTTATGCCGAACTATATGTAGCTAAGGAATGGGTTCTTCACGGCCAATCCGATAGATGTGTGTGTTTGGTTAGGCGACCGGACGTTTTACTGTAGAGCGAATGCACAACAAATCCGTGTGCCTTCATTTAAACCGCGCCGCGTCTGGGTGCGGTGTAAACAGGCACTGCTTGCTGTAAATTCGAGCGGGCAAAAACACTCAACAAACAGCCTGAGCGTTTCAGTATCAAGTACGTGGCTTTCCAAGCACAAACAAATGCAAGCGCACTCATGGCGATCGAACATCATTGACACCAGTGGCTCTTTGCTTGTTATGTGCCTGACATCCAAATTGAACAGCACATTTGTGACAGATTTCAACAAGGTAGTTCGATAAACCGACAGTCGGCATTCGGGCGCGATGCCCATCCGGACGAAACAAGCACATTTTCGTAGTATTGTGAGGAAGGCTCTGTTGACAAGCTGTAACGAATCAACGACTGTGGATACGAGGTGCGTACGTGTATACGAATTCTTCGCATGCGTGAGATCAGACTGAAATGAAAGAAAACTTCTTCAAGCCTCTTTCATAAATATAAGCCGACCGTCATGGCCACTTGCATCTAATACAACGTGTAGTATTAGATACCAGTGGTATCAGATACCAATGGTAATAAATAAATATGGTCATGGCTTTTAAAGAAATCGAAAGGTGCGACGACATAGAGCAAACCATCTAAAAGCTGAGCAATCAATAAGTCTTGAATGTACATTTTATCCTAAAATCTATCCAGTGATCTATTTATTGTGTCGCTTTTAACATGTTTCATTCCACAGTCTTTCTCGCATCGGCAGTCTTCCTGCTACTAATTTCTTTTGCGGAATGAGAGGGTGCTGATTGAAAGAGTTTTAGGGCTCAATAAGCCATCCAGGGGTACCCTACGCTGTTGCCGGGTACCCTTTACGTCCACTTGCCGGGCACTGTGATCACTAAGCGACCTTTCGCGTTGCCCTCAACTCATTTGATTTGCTTGGAGGCCCCTAAGCTGTTGTCGGAGTCAGCATGCTAACCTGTTGGTGCGCTCTGATCGACCAGGGGCCCTCCAGGATTTTCCTATTCGCCCGGAAGGCCCAACAATGCATTGTTGGGCGTCCCATGGTGTTAGCCGCCGCGGTACTCTCGGCCCTCAACAGCTCTCCACACATTAGACTCGCGTTATTTCTACTTACTCGAAGGGTTATTGCTGGGCCCATATAATTTAATACACCGAGGCTCTCGATGCTCAGGGACCCTCCACAATGGTGTAGGGCTGTTGCCATTTGCTCTCATCTACGGAGAACCCTGCACTCTTGTCAGCGGCCCTTTCCGTTAATCTGTCTTGGCACTCTTGATCGCGCAGGGTCCGCCACGTTGGTCTTGGACACTCAGCATTCTCTCGGAGGACTCTACGCTATTCTCAGCGGCCTTATACGTTCATCTGCTTAGGCACTCTCGATCACTCAGGGCCTTTCACATCGGTCTCAGCTCTTCCCGCTTCCTCGGAGAGCCCTGCGCTATGGCCGGGGCCCTATACGCTAGCCTGCCGAGACGCTCCCGATTTTTCAGGGGCCCACCAATCGGTCTTGGGTTCTTCTCGCCCTTTCGGAGAACGCTACACTGTTGACAAGGTCCTCTCGATCGACCTGCCCGCACCCTCAATGACTGAGGTCCCACCCACATTGGTCTCGAGTTTCCCACTTCTGTCGGAGAGCCTATGCTGTTGCCAGGGCTCTTAAATGCTGACACGTCGAGGCACTGTTGATCGCCACGGGGTCTTCCACGTTTATCTAGGGCCTTTCCCATGTGGTCAGAAGAACCTCACGCTGTTGTTGAAAGCCCCACATGCTGCTTGCACACGGTGGGGTCAGGGATTATCCAAAGAGATTGCTTAGAAAAGGCTCTGATCCTAGAAACGCATTCAATCACATCGATGGGAATGCATCTTTTAATAGAATACCTTGCCTCCAACAGGCAGCTGACCTGCTGATGAAGATTATCCTGACGTTTGAATATGCGCTCAACACAGGTGGCCATGTCTTGAACAGGCCTGATCCGCGTACACAGCAGGTTGAAATTGATTGCTCTCTCTCTCTCTCTCTCTCTCTCTCTCTCTCTCTCTCTCTCTCTCTCTCTCTCTCTCTCTCTCTCTCTCTCTCTCTCTCTCTCTCTCTCTCTCTCTCTCTCTC